TTCTATATTATAGATAATTATTAGCATTTCTTTCTCCTTCTAGAAAATTCTAAAAGTTAAACTCCTTAAAGTTAATGCCAATTTCTTGATCTTTTCTTTCTCAATTGATCACTCTCAGTACAATAAACCTATAGTAAAGTGCTTGTGTTAATTTGCATTCATGCCTTCCCTCATGTCTGTGCACCATTGTCCTACCTTCCTTTTTTGTTTTTGTTTTTGTTTTTGTTTTTAACTATGAAGAAACACCATGACCATGGCAACTGTTATGAAGTAAGACATTGGGGGCTGTCTCACAGTTCAAAGGCTTAGTCCATTATGATCAAGGTGGGAAGCATGACAGACATAGTGTTGGAAAAGTAGCTAAAGTTCTATATTTGTGCCCATAGGCAGCAGGAAGAAAGCCACTGGGCCTAGCTTGAGCTCCTCAGACCTCAAAGCCCACCCCTAGTGACACACTTCCTCAAACAAAGCCACACATACTCCAACACAGCTACACCTTTAGGCCTATGGGGTCCATTTTCATTCAGACCACCACAACCATGTGCATGTCTGCTATCTTCAGAGGTCAAAACAGAGTGCTGAGTTCCTTGGAACTGGAGTTATGGACACTTGTGAGTCACAAGTTGGCTACTGGGAAGTAGACTTGAGTCCTCTCAAAGAACCTCTCAAAGAAAAGTACTACTTTTAACTGCCAATTTATTTCCCCAGCCCTAAGCACAATATATTTTCATGTAGAACGGGGAAAAAAATCCATATATTTAAGACATTTTAAAAATTATCTTTTATCATAATTTAAAGCTAATAGTCAATGGCATCCTTTCATACCATAATTTATTAAAGAAGGTCTCCATAGTGTATATAAAATTGAAAACAATTGTTTTTAATTAGAATAGGAAAACACAGTTGGACCTAAATGAAGAGTATTGAATAAATCATAGTACCTTTTCTATCGAAAAACTATAGAGAACCAAGATAGACAAAATATAAATAGCAGAAGTAATAACACATGAAGGTAAAAATGGGATAAAATCCCTCTCCAAAATGGTGAAATAATCTTAAAAAGTTATCTATACCGATATACGTTACAGGTTAATTTATACTGTATATTGATAGTTTTAAACAGAAGGTAAGAGAAAGATTTTATATTGCAAAATTTCTCTCATTATATCCATTTTGAAAAACAACTCACTTTTCTTAAGTGAGTCAGTGTTGCAAATGTATTCAGTGACTAGTCATGTCATGGTGATTATTTGTGTTCACATGTATTCACTTTTGTAGGAAAAAGTAATTTGCTAAGTCACAGTTCCATTTTTAAAAGAAAATAATTTGTGTTGATATAGTCATTTCTAAACCTTAACTTCAGATAAAGCCAGAGAATATTGTTAATAACCCCAAAAGAATTTTTAGGCATGTTCGTGAAAATCAATTTGTAGTAGAATCAAGTTGAAGGCTTAATGTTAAAGAATTGCCATTAATTCCCTTAATTACTAACAATATACTATTTGAGTAGGAAATGAATCAGTGAAGTAAGGATAGTAACTGGCCAAATTCCAAGTGGGCACAAATTGACACTTAGTGTGCATTTTCTTAGCAATAAATGATAAAAGCTGGTAGTTAGCAAGATTGTCATGAATATGGCTATTATAAGTAGAACATGCTGCTTTTCCTTTCGTATTATAGCTGTATAGTGTATTATTAGGAAAACTATAAATATTGGTATCTTACTGGGCTGGGTAATTAAAACAAAGTGTATCTTTATTTTTTAACCTTTAATTTAAAATTAATATGTATTTACCATTATTTATGGGATCCCGTATGATAATTTGTTTCACATATATAACATGTAATGATCAAGTTGTGGTAATTAGCATTTCTGTATCTTTAAATCTTATTCTTCTTATGTGTTGAGAACCAGTGACAGTTATTTTAAGTAACCACAAAATTTTCAAATTGGATGTTTTTCATTCATATCTGTTAGTTGGCTACAGTTTGGCAGGAGCTCTGCTGAACGTCACCCATGGTTGTGAATTGAGTTCATGAATATTCACATTGTCTCTGATCCTACATGGGTCAAAATGGCGCCTGAACCGTGTGTTTTGTTTGGCTTGTAAACTCAAGAAGGAAAATGCAACAACTCACAAGCAATCTAAGCTTCTCTGTATGTCATATCCATTAACATTCCATTTACCATAACATGTCACATAACCAAGTCTACATTCTTGGACCATGAAAGAGGTCTGCTCCTAGCCTTTGATCACATTTTTGGTTCTGGTAACCTTCTTGCTGTCCTTAGAGCAAACTGAACACACTGGCCTCCCAGGAGCTTTGTAGGTGCTCTTCCTTTGTCTGTTGCTCTTTCTTTATATACATTTGTGGTTCATACCTTGAAGTCCTGAATACTTTGGCTCAGTTGCATCTTACCCTTTTCTTAGTGTTCATCACTCCTTTGCTCGCCTATGTAATTGATGAATGCCTACAAAACAGAGCGTTGGATCACGTGGAGCAATAGTTACAGGTTGTTGTGAACTACTAACATGGGTGCCTAGAACTTCACTCAGGTCCTATAAAAGAACAAGACACACTGTTGAACCTTCTCTCTAGGCCCTTGAATTTTTTTTTGTAAAAACATTAAAATATAAACCTCCAGTATCTAACAACACATTACTACTACTTTATTTTTAAAATATTCATGAATATATGTTAGTTGTGTAAAGTGTTTTATTATGACATTTTTATAATAAAGGATTTTGATAACATTCAGCATCATCCTTCTCTTTTATCTTCTTTCTCCTACTGTTCTTCTTCCACTTCTTCTCAGGTTTCGTTTAACTGTTTCTTTATTTTTTTCAATATAATCTGATATAAAATATATTAGGCACTAAGATCTTTTCAGTTAGCCTATTTGCTTTTTCTCCTGCATATATGTGATGAGTCTCATTTCAGTTTTTACAAAGATGTGAGTTAAGCCATTATGAGAAACCTGGACACTATAAAAAAAAACTGAGGAAACAGATTATATGTATTCATATACAACTTAAGATGTATTAGGTATTCTAAAAGTACTAGAATGGTTATTAGATCATTAGCTGATAACATGCATAGCTCCCTGAATTCAAACTCCAATACTCCCAAAATGTTTGAAAAAGTACAATTACCACTGTTAGGAAAGCTTTCTATTAAAACAAACCAATTTTGCATTTTAATTAGATACTCCTCTTTGAAATGGGGGGGGTAGTTTATCAGTAAAGATAGACTGAGCTGACACCATTAGGTTATACTTTACAGTTTAATTCTATTTTCTTTTTTTCTTTATTAATTACACTTTATTCACTTTGTATCCCCCCTGTGGTTCTCTCTCTCCTCCTGTCCCAACCCCTCCCTTCCTCCACCCTCTGCATGCATGCCCCTCACCAAGTCCACTGATAGGGGAGGACTTCTTTTCCTTCCTTCTGATCCTAGTCAATTAGGTCTCATCAGGAGTGGCTGCATTGTCTTCTTCTGTGCCCTGGTAATGCTGCTTCCCCCTCAGGGGGAGGTAATTAAAGTCATTCAGGGACAGTCCTGCCAATCGCATCATTGAACTGTACCTGGGTCTTAACACAGTACAATGAACTTCCTAGTACTCAGTTATGATGTCATTAAACTGCCAGATATATTGACAGTGATGTTGAGTGTTTCTGCTTGTTCTGATTTAATCTGTAAGACATACTGTCAGGAACATGGATTTGGTGCAATTAAAATGCGTTACATTTCCCAGTTCAACGAAAATTTGCATCAGTAATGGAACAAAAAATGTAATTGACACTGCAGTTGTTCAGGGTTCTGTCTCTTCTGGTAATGTTTCATTCACTCCATCTTCACTAGGCTTTTGAAAATGCAAGAATAAACTAGAAATACTAACTGCCACTTTTTTTCTGAAGACAGAAACTTAAAATGTATGTCTGTATGTGTGTGCTCACACATGTCTGCATGTGTGCAGAGAAGAGAGGAAAAAAGAGGAATCTAGTTTCTCTTTTTACTTCTCCACGACCTTCATTCTTTTGTGCTGAGAAAGCACAGTGCAGATGTGCAATAATAATTGTTTTCTCTCAAAGAAAAGTTTCACATTTGTTAATGGTCTTCAAGAAAAGTTGTTTTAGGAAAGAAGCCTACCACAGAGGGCCTCTGAAAGACTCTACCTTGCAGAATGCTGAGACTCATAGCCAAATTTGGGCAGAGTGCAGGGAATCTATGAAAGATAAAAAGACCTGGAGGGTACAGGAGCTCCACTATGAGAGCAACAGAAACAAAATATCTAGGCATAGGGTTCTTTTCTGAGACTGACACTCTAACCATAAACAGTGCATTGAGATATCCTAGAATCCCTGCACAGATGTAGCCCAGGGCAGCTCAGTGTCTAAGTGGGTACCCTAGTAAAGGGAACAGGGGCTGTCTCTGACATGAACTCAGTGTCTGGCTCTTTGATCACCCCTCCCAAGGGTTAAGCAGTCTTACCAGGCCACAGAGGAAGACAATGCAGCCAGTCCTGGTGAGAATTGATAGGCTAAGGTCAGAAGGAAGTGGAAAAGGACCTCTCTTATCAATGTACTGGGAGAGGAGCATGGGAGGAGAAAACGGAGGGAGGGTGGGATTGGGAAGGGATGAAGGAGCATACTACTACAGCTGGGATACAAAATGAATAAATTGTAATACATAAAAACAAATTTTAAAAAAGTGAAGAAAAGAAGTTGTTTTATCGACTTTATGTGAACTACTGAATATGTACAGAGTTTTCATCCCCAAGAATAATAACAAAGGTAAATTGCCACATGAATTTTCACACACAAAAGTAGTAGTCCATAATTATCAAGCTTGAAGAATTGCTTGAAGAGTTTTATGTTATGTTGTATATGAGCAAGTAAAAGGAACTTACAGTGGTTTGTAAAATATTATTGAGGCCCTTTCTGTGTCTGCACTTGGCAGAAGTATGATGGCTCTTTTTCTGTTTTTCTTTCACTAAGGTGAGGAAGATCTTCTGAGTCCTCCCCAGGACACAAGCACAGGATTGGAAGAAGTGATGGAGCAACTTAACAACTCCTTCCCCAGTTCAAGAAGTAAGTACATATATCTACAAGAGACACAGACCACACAGTTCCCCTCCATTCTAACTGATGTATTTTTGTCCATTGGTAGCCAACATGTGCTGACAGAAGAAAGCCAATTTGGGTTAATGGTGAGATTTTATTTTTAGTATTGATTTTTGGCTTGCTCTTTTTTGAGTTCAAAAACCTGTGCGATCAAATTGTTTCTAGAAATAAGATTCCACCTTGTACTTAAAAAGTGTTTTACTTGGTTCACATGTTGATTTGAAGACCTAATTATGTGGTACCTTTTATTTAAGAGCAGTCATTATGTGACTTTTAAAGATGAGAAAATTGGTGCCTTGTGGTGCCTCTACCAAGGATGTGTGAAGTTACAGTGTGCAACAGTGAGGCCTAGGAAAATGCGGTGGTATTGGTGGGGATTCTGGCTTGCAATCTGATGCTTTTTGTGTTTGAAAATTGTACCATACCTCATTAAATCAATTTAGGGATAATTAGATTTCAAAAGGTAAGGCTATCAGCTTTTCACTTCTTTGTAGGAAGAGGCATTCTTTTTCTCTATCACATTGACCTTGTACATTTTTGCACCCCATACAAAAGCAGGATTTTAACACACAGAGTTTTCCCACAAGCCTGTATGAGCCGTGAATGTCTCCCTTCATCCAAAAAGATATTTTACTGCTCTTGTTATGGTTTATTATCTATCTGACACAGTCAGTAAAACACTCCTCCTCCCATCAACCTATTAAAAAAAACAGTTGAGGTGAGCTGAAAGAAGGAAAGCAGAATGGAGAAAACATGAAGCTTTGTGGCCAGTGATTAGCAACCCTAATGGGCAAGCTCTGAAGGAAAGGTGTAAAATATGAGGCTTTTGTTAGTCTCCATAAGGGCAATGAGGAGGGTGTGTTTTCCCCATCTTTTTCTTCAGTGTCATTTAACAATGACCTTTTCCAAGATATTTGATGTGTGAGTGAACGTTGTACAGTGCACATTAAAGGCAATAATGTTCTGGTAGTGTGTTGCTAAGAAACTACCAGGAAAGCTAATTTTAAATGTCTGTACCGGCCATCTTTTCACTGCTGAATACCACTGATTGATTTTTAACACATAAAACTCTTTTTTTTTTGAACGTTTGAAGGATTTATTTATTTAGTTTTTATTAATTACATTTTATTCCTTTTGTATCCCCCCATAAACCCCTCCCACCTCCCCTCCTGGTCCTACCTTCCTTCCCCTTTCTTCCCACATGCCCCTTCCCAAGTCCACTGATAGGGAGGTCCTCCTCTCCTTCCTTCTGATCTTAGTCTATAAGATCACATCAGGATTGGCTGCATTATCATCTTCTGTGGCCTGGTAAGGCTGCTCTCCCCTGAGGGGGAGGTGATCAAAGAGCAGGCCAATCAGATTATCTCAGAGGCAGTCCCTCTTCCCATTACTATGTAACCCACTTGGACACTAAACTGCCATGGACTACATCTGTGCAGGGGTTCTAGGTTATCTCCATGCATGGTATTTGGTTGGAGTATGAGTCTCTGGGAAGACCCCTGTATTCAAATTTTCTGGTTCTGTTGCTCTCCTTGTGGGGTTCCTGTCCTCTCCAGATCATACTATTTCCCATTTCTTACATAAGATTCCCTGCACGTTGCCCAACAGTTGGCAATAAGTCTCAGTGTCTGCTTTGATAGTCTGCAGGGCAGAGCCTTTCAGAGGCCCTCTGTGGCAGGTTCCTAGATTGTTTCCTGTTTTCTTCTTCTTCTCATGTCTGTCCTCTTTGCCTTTGAGGATGGGGATTGAGAGTTTTAGTCAGGGTCCTCTCTCTTAATTAGTTTCTTTGGATATACAGGGTTTAGTGGTTTATCCTATGTTATATGTCTATATGAGTGAGTATATACCGTGTATGTCCCTCTGCTTCTGGGACAGCTCGCTCAGGATGATCCTTTCCAGGTCCCTCCATTTACCTGCAAATTGCATGATTTCCTTATTTTTCATTGCAGAGTAGTACTCCATTGTGTAGATGTACCACAACTTCTGTATCCATTCTTCAGTTGAGGGGCATCTGGGTTGTTTCCAGCTTCTGGCTATTACAAATAAAGCTGCCACAAACATGGTTGGGCAAATGTCTTTATTGTGTACTTGAGCCCCTTTTGGATATATACCTAGGAGTGGTATGGCTGGATCTTGAGGAAGCATTATTCCTAGTTGACTGAGAAAGCGCCAGATTGATTACCAGACTGGTTGTACAAGTTTACATTCCCACCAACAGTGGAGGAGTGTTCCCCTTTCTCCACAAACTCTCCGTCATGTGTTGTCACTTGAGTTTTTGATCTGAGCCACTCTGATGGGTGTAAGGTGTAATCTCAGGGTCGTTTTGATTTGCATTTCCCTAATGGCTAATGACGTTGAGCATTTCTTTAAGTGTTTCTCTGCCATTCGATATTCCTCTACAGAGAGTTCTCTGTTTAGATCTGTTCCCCAGTTTATAATTGGATTACTTGGTTTGCTGTTTTTCAGCTTCTTTTGTTCTTTATATATACTGGGTATTACCCTCTGTCAGATAAAGGGTTGGTGAAGATTCTTTCCCAGTCTGTAGGCAGTCGTTTTGTTTTGATGTTGGTGTTTTTTGCTTTACAGAAGCTTTTCAGTTTCATGAGGTCTCATTTATTGATTGCTGCTCTTAGAGCCTGTGCTGTTGGAATTCTGTTCAGGAGGTTGTCTCCTGTGCCAATGAGTTCAAGGGTATTCCCACTTTTTCTTCTAACCGATTTAATGTGTCCAGTTTTATGTTGAGATCTTTAATCCACTTGGACTTCAGTTTTCTGCAGGGTGATAAGTATGGATCTATTTTCATTTTTTTTTACATGTAGACATCCAGTTAGACCAGCACCATTTGTTGAAGATGCTATCTTTTTTTTCCATTGTATGGTTTTGGCATCTTTGTCAAAGATCAGGTGTCCATATAAGTGTGTAGGTTTATTTCTTGATCCTCTGTTTGGTTCCATTGATCCACCATTCTGTTTCTATGCCAGTACCATGCAGTTTTTATAACTGTTGCTCTATAGTACACCTTAAGATCAGGGATGGAGATACCTCTAGAAGATCTTTTATTGTAGAGAATTGTTTTAGCAATTCTGGGTTTCTTGTTATTCCATATGAAGTTGAGAATTTTTCTTTCCAGTTCTGTAAAGAACTCTGTTGGTAATTTGATAGGAATTGCATTGACTCTGTAGATTGCTTTTGGTAAGATGGCCATTTTTACTATGTTAATCCTGCCAAGTCATGAGCATGGGAGATCTTTCCATCTTCTGATATCTTCTATTTCTTTCTTCAGAGACTTGAAATTTTATTCATGCAAATCTTTGACTTGCTTGGTTAGGGTTACTCCAAGGTACTTTATGTCATTTGTGGCTATTGTGAAGGGTGTTGTTTCCCTAATTTCTTTCTCAGCCCTTTTGTCTTTTGTATGCAGGAGGGCTACTGATTTTTTTGAGTTAATTTTGTATCCTACCACTTTGCTGAAGGTGTTTATCAGCTTTAGGAGTTCCCTGGTAGAGTTTTTGGGGTCACTCACATATACTATCATATCATCTGCAACTAGTGATAATTTGACTTCTTCCTTTCCAATCTGTATCCCCTTGATCTCCTTCAACTGTCTTATTTCTCTAGCAAGGACTTCCAGAGCTATGTGGAAGAGATATGGAGAGAGTGGACAGCCTTGTCTTGTCCCTGATTTCAGTGGGATTGCTTTTAGTTTCTCTCCGTTCAGTTTGATGTTGGCTATAGGTTTGCTATATATCGCATTTACTATGTTTAGATATGTGCCTTGTATCCCTGAATTCTCCAATACTTTAAACATGAATGGATGTTGGATTTTGACAAATGCTTTTTCAGCATCTAGGGAGATTATCATGTGGTTTTTCTTCTTCAGTTTGTTAATATGGTGGATCACATTGATGGATTTCTGTATGTTGAACCACCGCTGCATGCCTGGGATGAAACTTACTTGGTCATAGTGGATGATATCTTTGATGTGTTCTTGGATTCGGTTTGCAAGTATTTTGTTGAGTATTTTTGTATCAATGTTCATAAGGGAGATTGACCTGAAATCCTCTTTCTTTGTTGGGTCTTTGTGAGGTTTAGTTACCAATGTGACTGTGACTTCATATAATGAGTTTGGTAATGTTCCTTCTGTTTCTATTTTGTGGAATAGTTTGAAGAGAATTGGAGTTAGCACTTCTTTGAAGGTCTGGTAGAATTCTGTGCTGAAACCATCTGGTTTTGGGCTTTTTTTTTGTATGGGAGACTTTCGATGACCGCTTCTATTTCCTTGGGGGATATAGGACTATTTAATTGATTTACCTGGTCCTGATTCAGTCTTGGTAAGTCGAATTGATCAAAATATTGTCCATTTCATTTAGATTTTCAAATTTTGTGGCATATAGACTTTTGAAATAAGTCCTAATGATTGTTTGGATTTCCTCAGTGTCTGTGGTTATGTCCCCCATTTCATTTCTGATTTTGTTCATTTGGATGGTGTCTCTCTGCCTTTTAGTTAGCTTGGCTAACGGTTTATCTATCTTGTTGATTTTCTCAAAGAACCAGCTCTTGGTTTCATTGATTCTTTGAATTGTTTTATTTGTTTCTATTTGATTGATTTCAGCCCTGAGTTTGATTATTTCCAGCCGTCTACTCCTTTTTGGTGTGTCTACTTCTTCATTTTCTAGGGTTTTTAAGTGAGCCATTAAGTTGCTTGAATGCACTGTCTCAAATTTCTTCTTGAAGGCACTTAGTGCTATGAACTTTCCTCTTAGCACTGCTTTCATTGTGTCCCACAAGTTTGGGTATGTTGTGTCTTCATTTTCATTGAGTTCTAGGAAGACTTTAATTTCTTTCTTTATTTCTTCCCTGACCAAGCAGTCATTTAGCAGCAAGTTGTTCAGTTTCCATTTGTGTGTAGGCTTTTTGCTACTTCTTTTGTTGTTGAAGTCTAGCTTTATTCCATTGTGATCAGACAT